TACTAAATTCTTGACGATATTGGAAGGATTTACCGATGCTAGTTGGATATCTAGCACGGGTGAAAGTAAATCTACTTCGGGTTGGGTATTCACTCTTGGAGGAGGTGCTGTTTCTTGGAAATCAAAGAAACAAACATGTATAACACACTCAACCATGGAATTTGAATTTGTAGCTTTATCGGATACCGGGAAAGAGGCTGAGTGGCTTAAGGATCTCTTATATGAGATGCCTTTGCGATCAAATAATATCTCTGCAATAACTATCATGTGTGATAGTAAAGCCACGTTAGCAAAGGCATATAACGAGGTATACAATGGAAAATCTAGACATATGAGTCTGAGACACATAAGGAAATTAATCAAAGATGGAATAATTTTCCTAAATTATATAAGGTCAATTGAGAATTTAGCGGATCCTTTAACTAAAGCACTAAATAGAGATTTAGTGGCGTCTACTTCGAGTAGGATGGGGTTGAAACTCCTTAATTAAAAAGGTCCACCAATGACGACAACCCTACCTATCATTACTCAAAAGGTAATCCACAGATTCAAAGGGTAACAACAAGTCATTCGATATGTGGATAGCTGCAGCATTATTGAAATCCGCAATGACCCTATCCTAATTAAATAATGCTGGTTGTTACTGAAGTGAGGGCTGAGCATTAAAACTCTTAATGAAGTTCAGTGCTAAAATACAAGTATCTCTAAAAGCAACAAAGATACTAGAAGAACTTCACCTAAATGAACTTCAAGGTGGTGCCGCCTCAATAGAGAGTTGGAGTTTCTCTTTTAAAAGTTCATTAAATAGGTTGAGTGCAAGGCCATAAAAGCGCTAAGTGAGTTGAGGAACTTGAGAACACGTGATACTTTTTTGTGTGTTCTTACCGGTATTGTCACAAGGAATAATTGGTTCAAAACTTCCATGCTACCTCTAATTCCGACTTTACTTTGTTTGAATTACACTATGATTAGATTCAAATCGAAAAATATCTAATCCTTATGTATAAGTGTCGTCTTTTTGAATATGTGATCGTACTGATTTTGAACAAGTGATGGATTGTTGAAAATTTGTTCAAAATCAATGGAATGATGATGGACTTATTGTTGGGCTCAATTGTGAAATTGGTGAATCAAAAGAAATTGAAAAATACAAAATTTGATTTTTTGCCTGTGCGTACTTAATTTTGTGCATACGCGAGATGTGTTTTGGCAAAATCAGAATTAAATTTTGCTTCTACTATGCGTACCCAAGGTTTATACTATGCGTACGCATAGTGTTAAAAAATAGTCGTTGGCTAATTTTTCAATTTGAAACTTGAGAGCCGTTTTGGATTAAAAGTTGCCACTTTTCATCTTATTTTGACATCATTTCATGATGCATTGATTGAGACCTATAAATAGGTGATGAATGATCAATACAAACATTATTAAAATCATTGAAAACATCTTGAGATCCATATATATTCCATATTGAATCAAACTATTGATTTACATTCATATTCAAGATTTTCCTTTGTGTTCTTAAAGTTTTGGAGGATTGCACTTGTGCTTTGGTGTTAAATTCTTTACAAGGCTTGATATAATCCTACAAACCGTTTGCCAAAACCCTTAAACATCTCATTCAATCTCTAGAGTGGGAAAATATAGTTTGAGGACAACAATCCCGTGTTCAAACCTCAAATTCGTTCTTGACGTATTTCGTGATTTCTATTCATTTTGTTTCTATAATTTTTTTGTTGTTTCTTCTCCAACCCCTTATTTTCCAACACTTTTCTCACTCTTGGTCACTAGCAATGTGACCAACCATCGTAGTTGCGTCACGAGAGCCGTTGTTATGATGACGTAGGTGCTCAGCACGCTCACGCTCCCCGATGTGAGCGCCACTATGCGTGCTGCTTCTTTGTGCTAGGTGATGCTGCCTTGTGCATAGCAGCGCATCAGCAACACTTATTGGTGCATGTGGTTTTAGGGTGTTTTGGGGTGGTTTAGATCTGAGATGGGAGTTGTGTTTGGTAATTTGAATGGCGAGGAGACAGTGGCGGATATGGCGGTTGACGGGTGATGGCAATGGCAGTGGTAGAACTTATTTGGTAGGCAGAGAAATGAGAGTTGAAAGCTACTTTGGAAGTGCTGCATTTGGATCACTTAAACAATGATAAGTTTGAAATTAATTGTTGCATTAAAGTTTGCAAATGGTGGTTGTTGTTGGTGGTGGTGGTGGGTACAGTAGTTGTTGTGGGGGTGGATGTGATGAAAAGTGTTAGTGAACAATCATTTAGGCGATTATGACCAATTAATTTGATAATTTGTGATCATGAAATAAGTTGTGGCCTTTGAATTTTGTGATTTGTGATCGAAAAATAATACGTAATCAATTAATTTGAAAATTTGTGATCGATAAATAAGTTGCGAACTATAAAATTTGTGACTGTGGCTTTATATGATTGTGACTAGTACGTAATCGTGATCATAAATTGTAGGGAAAATTGCAGCCACGGTACCAAACATTTCGTTTATTAGTAGACCTTTCCCAAATCTTTCATTTGTACTATCGAAAGTACCAAACCTTTAAAAAAATCTCAGCTAGAGTCCAAATGGATGGAAACCATCCGTTTGACCATTAGTTGACCAAAATAATTAATTTTGACCAAATATAAAAGGGCAAAATGGTAACTTTACGATTTTAACATAAGATAACTTTAAAAAAAATCAATAAAATAAAAAATAAAAAAGTGGCTACTATTCACCTTCTCCTTCACTAACCCAACCCCATCCCCAGCCCCCTCCTTCAATAACAATAGCATCAAATTGGAGTTTCAGTGAGTCCCTAGGTCTCTCCAGTTTTTTGCACATTAGCATTTTCCCCAACCACAACATTTTCCTTGCACATCTTCTCTACCGAATCTTCACCCAAATTTATGGTGGTTAGTTCCTCACCAGTTTCTTCTGTTTCCATAAAGATAACATCGGTGTCATTCACACTATTGTCTCCTTCACTTTCGACTGTAGCGGGCTCTGTTTCACCATTCCATTCCAATTCCCTATCCTCCTTAGAAACCCTTTTCTTCTTCAACACAGTCATTATCCAATTCCTCCTCCAAAAGCAGATTTTTCCTCAATTCATCAACCCCAATTACCAAAGTGTCCTCACTCAAATCAACGGTCCTTGAGCTGTCTCCAGGATCGACGGCTGGGTTCTCCAGCATCAACATAGTGGTCTTCAGAAGAGAAGTAGGCTTCTTACTCTGGATGGGTTTGAATTTCGAATTTTGCATCATCCCGAGTTGTACGTTGATCAGTTGGACAGTTATCCTGTCCCGAAACCATAAATATTCTAGTGGATTCAGTAAGCGAGGGAGGCGGAGACGTTAAATTCGGGTGGTAGTCGGATTCCACAATCCAACAGAAGGGGGATGGGGATGGGGGTGGGTTAGTGAAGGAGGAGGTGAACAGTAGCCATTTTTTCTTTTTTTATTGATTTTTTTTTAAAGTTACCCTTTTAATTTGGTCAAAATTAATTATTCCGGTCAACTAACGGTCAAATGGATGATTTCTATCCATTTGGACTCCAGCTGTGATTTTTTTTAAAGATTTGGTACCTTCAGTGGTACAAATGAAAGGTATGGGCAAAGTCTGCTAATAAACGATATGTTTGGTATTGTGGCTGCAATTTTCCTTAAATTGTATAATATTATTATATTAAATTAATAAAATATTTTTACTTATTTATTTCATTAATAAATTTCATTAATGGCCTGATTTTTAAAATTATATAACATATTTCTTAATTTTGAAATTGTAATTTTCTATCACCTTAAATGTTTATTATTCTCGACTTGAATTGCCACAAGCCCAAAACGATGCATCTAATTAGTTTGAATCAAAATATGTGACGGTGCGACCTACTAGGGGATAGAGTTAGCACTACATAAAATTTAGAACTGGATTGGACATAGACTCTTGGGATATACTATTTTCTTTGAGCCAATTTTACGATTTAAATAAGTCCACCCCAGAAGTCTCTGGCTTAAAACCTCATCTACGCCATAATAGCGTCTCAAAGAAACTAGTCCACACTAGACGTCTATGTCCAATCCAATTTATCTTTTAGCATTGTAATCGGTAGTCCAACCCAAAAGAAATTAGGCAAATTTAATTTATGTTGCCTTTTTATAGTTTTGTCTTTTAGCATTGTAATCTATAGTGGTTAAGTGATTTGTTGTAACAGACAATTTGACAAAAAAATCTTTAACACCAGATTAATTTATTCCACTACTGTATGAAATCACATGTTCATAAATCATACCCTTTAATGACTTACATGCTAGAAAGAGAGCGTACTAAGAAAAATGAGTTCCCATCTCATTTTTTTAAAGTTCTCTTAATCTAACACGTGTTTTGACTTCAATTGCAGGAAGAAGTAAATCGAAACTGATTTTGATTGGAGGTAACTCTTCCAAATTTCAGTACTATTTATTTTGTTTTATTTTGTTTTGCTCTATAAACAGTACTGTTACATTTTTCATGATAGGTGTTTCAACTGCAGTGGAAGTCCTCTTCTCCATAATTTTACTCGCTTTCAAAAAGAGGAAGTACATGCAGAATTTGAAGGGAAAGACGCAAAAAGATAAGGACATTGAACTTTTTCTGAAGAACAATGAGAATCTTGCAACAAGAAGGTACAGTTACTCTTATCTTAAGAAAATGACTAATTCATTCAGTGGCAACTTAGGGGAAGGGGGCTTTGCAAGTGTGTATAGAGGAAAGTTATCCGACGGTCGTCTTGTAGCAGTAAAGATTTTGAAAGAATCGAAAGGCAATGGAGAAGAATTTATCAATGAGGTTGCAAGTATCAGTAGAACATCCCACATTAACATTGTCACTCTTCTGGGATTTTGCTTTGAGGGTTCCAAAAGAGCTCTCATTTATGAGTTCATGCCCAACGGATCTCTTGAGAGGTTCATAAACCACAATAGCTCCATAGCAGAAAGTTAGTTAGGATGGGAAAAATTGTTTCAAATTGCAGTTGGCATTGCTCATGGAATATAATACTTGCACCAAGGATGTAGTACACGGATTTTGCACTTTGACATTAAACCTCATAACATTCTTTTGGATAAAGACTTCAACCCTAAAATATCGGATTTTGGTTTGGCGAGGCTTTGCCTCAATAGGTCCAGTATAGTGTCAGTACTAGGGGCCAAAGGGACAATAGGGTATATAGCTCCAGAAATAGTTTATAGAAACATTGGAGATGTTTCTCATAAGTCAGATGTCTATAGCTATGGTATGATGATTTTGGAAATGACTGGACAGACGAAAAACATTGATGTCAGAGTTGATCATTCAAGCGAAAATTATTTTCCTGATTGGTTATATAAGAACCTTGAACAGAATGTTGAGCTTGATCTTAACATCATTGTGAATGCAAATGAACATTTGAGAAGGAAAATGTCAATAGTTGGCTTATGGTGCACACAAACTGATCCTAGAACTAGACTATCAATGAGCAGGGTTGTAGAAATGTTAGAAGGGAACATGGAATCTTTGCGAATCCCACCTAAACCCTTCTTGTTTTTACAGCCAAGAGAATCAATACATACTTCAACTTCTGAGTTATCACTCGCTCTCTCTGATGTTCATGAAGTCGAGCAATGACCCCATTAAAACTTTCTGGGATCTTGTGGTGATTGGAGGCTCCTTGTGACCTAACACAAAAGCAATTATCTCTGTTGTTTGTGCTCTTGCAATTTGTAAGTTGTTAATGTTAAAATGCTAAACAAGAATTTCCTGGAATATCAAAATTTTCTTCAGTTTAAGAATACAAGATCGTTATGATATGTTCACATGTAAATTAGAACTTAGATTAAGAATTTATTCAAACTCGATAATCAAATCTTGGTAAGAATTTGAATCACAAACTTCCGACTTTCTTAAATTACAAAAGATTTTGATTTCATGAACCTGCTGTTTCAAAACTAAAAATCAAGAAAAGATCAAAAGAACAAATTACATTTTTTTTTTATAAAGGTTTTTGTCTCTTTTCTTATGTATATTTCAGCCACCCGTGTGCCAATATATGCACAAAAGCCTTCTTCTTGGGGTGGCTAATGAGCCGTAACTAGTTAGCTCATTTGCTTGGCTCTTCAGGACTCCATCCATGGGTTGTTCGAGCTTGTTTCAAATGAGTTCGAGCACAAATTGAGTGACGCATGGGCTATATATATATATGTGTGTGTGTGAAAACTCTATAAATACTCCTTGTTTTAATCGATTTTCACACCAATTTTCTACAATCTAATTATTTACTCTCAAATCTCAATTCAATTTAGCTCATCTATTACATTCTCATTTTTCATAATTTTCTCACTCTTATAATTCATCCATTACATATTTACATTCCGTCTCTATACTACTAAAATTCTATTTCATCTCTATACATTTCAATTTTATTCCATACAAATGGATCCAAATCCTTATGTTGAGGGCTTGTTCGGGGGCAAATCACCTATGATGCCAAAATCTCAATTCCATAATTGAATTTTTCGATCTCAACGACTTCCCCATTCCCGAAAATGACACCATTTGGGCATCGGCGATGCTCACAAAAATAATACCACATATAGTCCTTGAACTTTCATTATAATTATAATTAACTCCAAACATTTTCAAGTAATTACAATTGAGTCCAAAGCGTTTTTGAGCTTCCATAAAGACTTGTTCAGACGTATATTATTCAAGCTCCAATAATTAACAAATATTTCCATAGTCTTCTTAGAGCACATGAACGAAGATTTTCCTCTATGCTTACAATACATGAACAAAGACTCTCCATCATATAACGGATTGAGAATTATCAAGTGGCTTGAGCAATATTGCGAACAGAATAAAAGCACATGTTTGTGTACGCAATTGGATTGAAGAAGGCGACCTTCTGACCTTTCGCAAACATTTATATACTACAACTAGATTTTATTTATTTCATTTGTACAATGTAATTGAATTTTTTAATATATATATATATATTTTAAAAATTATATATTATAATATTTCATGTATAATTTTAATCTGTCTACGTATTATATAATCCATCTCAAGTTAGGATAAAGGAGAAAGAATTTTTATATTTTTTTTTTTTTTTTTTTAAATTATATATTATAATATTTCATGTATAATTTTAATCTGTCTACGTATTATATAAACCACCTCAAGTTAGGATAAAGGAGAAAGAATTTTATAATTTAACATTTATTTCTATCAAATGTTTTCTACAAGATTGATTTTTTCAATGAAGTTGTTTACAATTTTTTTTTTTTACTATGTTATATGTTCCGTTCCGTAAAAAACGATAATTGTCATCGAGTTGGCGGGCAAGCTAAACTAACCTTTTTCTTAGGGATCATGTTACATATACATCACACTTGACATAAAGGTTTACATAAGAGGAAATTACATAAAACCAGGCATTTAAAAGTTCAAATTCAAAGTTCAGGGATGAAATTTATATATGCAAATATCAGGTATTATATATAGTTAATTCAACCAATTCAATTAAAAACCCTAATCAATTCCCCAAATCAAACGTGTCACTTCCTTTCTCATTCATTTCTCTCCATTTCTCTCTCCACTTGACCATAACTCCAGCGCTGCCTCCCACTGTCAGAGATTGCCACTTGCAGCACGCCGATGAGTACCGTTGCATCCGCGCCCACCACCGCACCATCACCAATTACAGATCTGTCAACCGTAGTTCAGTACCACAGTGACCTGCGTCCAGTTCACAACTCCAGTGCCACTGCCCACTGCCAGAGACTGCCACTTGCAGCACGCCAATGAGTACCATCGCGCCCACCCCCACCAACGCACCATCATCAATTACAGATCTGTCCACTGTAGTTCGGTACCACAGCGAACTGCATCCACTTCACACGACGACTCTCATTGCCGCTTTTCGTGGTATCTGCAACGGTGCCACCATGAGCACCACTGTCCTACTGCAAGCTGCGAGCGGCAGTGCGCGCAGAGGCACCGGTGAATCAAGGGGTAAGTGTCGCTGTGAAGAGGGCGGCCTTGACACTAAAGCAACCTGTGGTGTCAGGTCGCTTCGCGCGGCTTCACTCCGACGGGCGACTACTGAGAGTGGATTCACTCCGAGAGAGAGAGAGAGAGAGTTGAGGTTTCCGACGAGAGAGAAGGGTGCGAATTGTAGAGAGAGAAGTGAGGGACAAATATTTAAGGGTTGGTGGTGGTGGTGGTGGGGTGTTGTGGATGTGATGGTGTGGTGATGTTATTGGTACGGTGATGCTCATGATGGTGGTGGCATCCGTGACCGACAATTAGGCATCTGTGACCAACTATTTAGGCATCTGTGACTTAAAGATAATTTGTGACCAATAAACTGTGACACATGTGATCCATAGATATAATGTGACTTGTAATTTGAATGATCTGTGACCTCGAAATAATATGTGATCTACAAAATTTTTTATCTGTGACCATGAAATAATATTGTGACCAATTAATTTGACGATATATGACCAATAAATAAATCTGTGACCTATAATTATGAACATGTGACCATTAATTATGTAATTGTGACTTTATTATCTTCATTTAATAAATATTTTTAATTAATTAAATATAAACCTGATTTTTGAATTTTAAAAGTATCTATTTGATTTTTGAATTAGGGTAAACTTTATACCTGATATATGAACTCTTCCCTTTACATAATGTCATGTGGTATTTTATTATTGGACAGTTTAAAAAACAATAATCTCTTCCATCCAATAACCTCCCACCAAGTACCTTTCTGGCATTGCTTCTGAACGGTTTCTTTTGACAAAGTAAATTAATCATTTTCTTAAATGAGCTGAATCAAGCATGAAGCTTAACTTGGCCATTATTATCAATAAGCCTCAAGTTGACAAATTTATGAAAAGGAATAGTATTGGATGCTTCAAAATGTGTGGATAATAATGAGTAAGATATATAAATATATAGTTGAATTAAAGTTTGAATTTGACTGAATTTCTAAATCATTTATAAATTTCTTTCTGAAGGAAGGCTAAATGAGCTCAATAGCAATCCCTTCGTATGGCTTCATTTGTCCCTTTTTGTGAACTTTTATAATTTGTCAACCTTTTTTCATCTTAACTTTGTGGCCCAACTCTTCAGATTTTCAGTATTACGTTGTCGTACAATACAGCAATAATTGTATTGAAAATTCATTTACCATTTATTTAACAAGAAATATAATAATGGTAAAGAAATTTTGTTTTCTAATTTAGCATTGCAACTCTGCGTTATTGGGAAAATCATTATATTGAAAATTCTATGATTATAAATTCATTACGGTTTATTTTCATAACCCGTCAATGGAAAACAATTCTGTAAAAGTTTTAGTTTAACTTTAAAAGGGAGCTGTTATTTTTATCTACCATTTTTATATATTTATCCACTTTTAATATTAAGTTTTTAACCTTATGTAAATTTACTTAGATAGACAAAAATAAAATCAAATAAAATCTATCTTCTAAATTCATCTATAATGTTTATTCTCTTAAATAATTTTTGACTTCATCGAAATGTTCATCCACACACGAATCCAAAACTCAGTGATTCACATGCAGTTTGAAAGGTCATGGGATTCGTTTGGTAACTTTGAGGACACGTCTACTAAGATTTTGATTCTTGATTGACAATGTTATTCAATTAATCCTTCTTGTAATTTTTATCCTCTTTGTCCTATATTTTTGAGTTCTTGACAAAATTATTTGGATTTGACTTAATAATCCTATATGATTTTTTTTCTTCTGATTCAACAGTTGGAGGAAAGAAAAGCGTGCGGATAGAAGAATGAAAGTAGTAAACTCTAAAAGATATAATAAGAAACTTAGTTCCTGCTCCAATTGTTGAGGAGAAGCCCCAAACTTAGATCTCTCACCCGTTAAAAGGTACCCACCACTCTCTCACTCACTCACTCTCTTTCTCACACACAAACAAACAGGCAATAGTGTTTTGATTTCTTGTATATTGGAACTAAATTGTAATCTTTGCTTTCAGGAGTTTCTGTGCTCAATTATTTGAAAGTTATACAGTTCGATCCAACTAACATCTAGAGGGGGTGAATAAGTGTTTACTTGGAATTTAAACAAATTAATTAATAATTGCAATATTATTAATTCGTCCAGATGAATTCACATGCAATCTACCCTATGTTGAATTGCCGCAGTATAATAAATTGCTGAAAAATAAATAATATAGAATATTTGATGATGAAGAAAACCCCTAGTAAGATTAAAAACTTCGGGCCCAAACTAGTATGAATCCACTATAAACTAATTAACTTATAGTATTACCAAACTGGACCAATACAAGTACTTTCTAACTTCCTGACTATAATTTCCAAAGCCCTCCTGATTGTGTGCTTCTGCACCAACTCCCAACTTTTTGATTTTGTCTATCTTCTGTGGATTCCCGAGAACTCGTTGTTCTCCAACACCCAAACTCCGATCACCTCCCTTGATCTTCAACATTTGACAGATGCTCTGGAAGTATGGATTTTTGGTGTTTGACTTATGGGTTTTGATGTTTTTCAATTGCAAGTCTCAATGATCAATGGATTGAATGATATAGAAATAGTGTATGTGTTTTCT